CATCATACATGCAGTCCATAAAATTATTTTTTTTTTTTTTAACCGAATAATTTACCCTGTTATGTATATATACAAATAGATAATTTTGTCTCAATATAATCTATACAACACGAACCCACTATCTTCCCCTTTTAATGGTTAATGTACATACACAAGAAGTGTCTATCCTTATGAAGCGCCAGCCAACTCTCTTTTTGTTATCCATGGTGAGAGCTCTCACGTAAGACTGGGTAGTTCGGCACTGGGAGTTCCAGTGCCTCTTGTCTATGCCCCTGCAGCCCTCCTTTGTGTACCCCTTAGGGTTGCATTTGGTCTCGTAGAAGTATTGCTTCAGTTGGCCTTTGGGCACTGGGACTTTTTCCAGGACCGTGACGGTGGCCCCGGACATGTCCACCGCAGTCTTTTTCTCCGCCGCCGTCACCCACTCGCTCGTGCTGTCACACACGCTCAGTTCCCCACGGCGAGCCGGGTCGGAGTGGCGCCGGACCCTCATGGACATGTTTGCAGCATCCAAGTAGTTTTTGTACTCCTCGAGCAGGAAGAGCAGCGGGGGTTCCAAAGGCACTTGACTGCTCAGCATGACTCGGGATGTGTACAAGTCTGCATCCTTGTTCTCCTCGCTGGGCTGGATGTCCTGGTCCTCGTCTAGGAGCTCCTCTATGACGTGTTCAAAAGTGTCTGCCAGCGACGTCAGTCCTCTCGAACCAGCACTGGGCCCATTTAGGCCCTCAAGAGTCCCGTGGGTCCGAAGACCTGGGTAAGCCAAGCTGCCTTGTCCTCTTAGACCAGCTTCTTTCATCGGGGCAGCTTTCATGCAACTGAAGTATGAGATAACCATAGTAAGGAAAAGGATGGTCATCACTCTTCTCACTTGGTGGAACTGTTGAAAACAAGAAGAATGAATTAACTTACGAGGCTTGGAGTCATAAAAACCCACCTAAGCTGTCACAAGACTCGATGCACTTCCTACAGAGATCTGCTGCGTGCAGCTGCAACTTGTTACCAGAGATAGAGCATACTCTTGTAGAGGAGCGTGCCTTCATTTAGAGTTTCAGATAAAGCACATGCTGCACTTAGGCAACACTGATCCCAGCCAGTCAGAGTTCTTATGTGCTGAAGTCTCTCTGTAGTAAGTACCAGATTAGATGCAGGCTCCTCATTTATTGACTGATTACACCTATTTCAAGTAACAGCAAAAAGCAGAACTGCTACTTAGCAATGGAGTGTCTCAGCAATAAAAGACAGCTTCACAATCATGAAAGGAAAGCCTTCCATTTCAAGTGCTAATGTAAATATTTGACTTTTAAAGATCTCTCTACGGCAAAACCAGCTCATCGTTGTATCCACAAACAAACCGAACAGCACCAGGGTAAGCTGCATTTGTGTTTTGAAAGCAACCTTCAAATCGCAGGAAGAAACCATAAAAATCTGAGATCAGGGCAGAAATTGTTTCCTCCTCAAGAGCAGAGGAGGAAAGTACTGTTACAAGAACTTTAAGTACTGTTACAAGAACCCCCCAAATCCCGCAGTGACAGAGAGCTACACTTTCTGTCTGATCCCAAGTGCTACTACGACATCCATCACATCCCGATGTTATTTTTCCGCCTTCTGATCCCTGTTCTCACCAGTCCTGCTTGCTAGAAAGCAATGGCATTGTTCACATTTTTGAAGAAGCAGCTAATGCTTGTTTCAGAGCTTTTGAAGTTCATTCGGAAGTACCTCATACTTGGCAGTAAATGCTCTTTCTGTTTGCCAACAGGGTGCTGTGTAAAAAAGACTTACTTTATCTCCTGCAAATATGCTGTGGGAAACTAGTACTCTTAAGACTTGAACATGGAAAGGCAATTTATCATAAAACATGGAAATAAAATAAAATGTGTACCAGAAAGGAAGTGCCCAAAATACGGGTCTCAAAGTTTACTTAGTGAAGGCAGGGTGGAAAGTGTTTGGGTTTGTGTCCATGCCCTCCTCATCCCCAGCCCCTCACTGAACAAGATTTTGGCCAAGAATTCCCTCTACCTCAGCACAACTCTTCCTTCATCCCTCCATCTCTCTTCCTGTTTAAAAGTGTTGTTGTGGCACACATTTATTAAGATTAAACAAGCCTGACATCTGTGACTCACAGGAACATGGTGTTTGCTCCAGCCATGCAGAACATTAACATTTTGCAGATTTTTTTTCATCCTAGGATTTTTAAAACATTCTACAGGGAGTGTCAGATTTCCTTCTCAAAGGGGAGAGAGATACTACAGAGGTGATTTACAAAACAAGGAAAAAAGATCGTTAGTCTTCCTCTATCAAACAAGGAGAAAGGAGACAACTTTTGCTGTCTTGAAAAGGGGTGGCTCAGCTAGCAAACAAACGCAGAGCCAGTGGAATAAAAAAATAACATGCATACTACATCTCTGGAGAATTATTTTCTGTAAGACCTAAAAGGAAAAGAACCCCGAACACCCACACCACACTTTGTGACCACCAGAGCAGTGAACAGAACACAGATCTTCTGGCTCCTAATCAAGTTCCTGTTATTTTTATTAAAGTAGTGCCCAGAGGTCCCAGCCAGTTCTTGACTCTGGAGGGCAGAGCCTGTCTGAGCACGCAGGACCCCAAGGGACCTTCCAGTGCAAAAGAGAGAGGGCACAACCCAAGAGGCACCAAGGCAAGCACAGAACAGGGAGAAGAACCCATCAGGTAAGCAAACCTTCAAGTTAGTTGGGGGAACAAAGGAGAGAAGGATCCCTGGACCAGGCCACGTCCTTCACTATTGTCACTGGGCTGTTTACCTCTCATGGCTGTGCAGCTTCACTCACAGGGACACTTCTCTTGCAAGGAAAGCAGAGGACAGAGGTGCAGATTGACTTTGATAAGCCCTCAGAATTCTCTCTGCCAATGGCTGTTTGATCACCAGATACAAAAGTACTTCATATATCACGTTAAATTAATTCTTCCTTAATCAGTTTTGGCTTCCATTTAGCAAGGAAACTGCTGTCAAGTTTGATCAATTCACATCCCATGCAGTGACATACAACTGCCACTACTATCTGGGGTGGCACAAAATTGGGTAAAACTCGACTTTGAAAACCAACAACTTCTAGACAGCTATTACCCACAATAACATACTGATAATACATAAGAAAACACGTCTGCTTAAAAGCCACTCCTCTTCCTCCCTTTTATAGAAGCAGAAGAGTATGTCAAAGTAAGCTTTAGCAGGACAGACACGTGGAATACTGCCAGCAAGAGATCACAGATCAAACATCTATTTCTTTGTAAATGAATCCCAGACTAAGCTGAAGTCTGCAAGCAGGATGTGAAAAGATTCTTCCCTCTGTCTTGACAGTGACTTGAGCAATATACACAGCCCTTGTCTTTGGCAGCAAAATGATATCAAGTGATTTAATGCACTGAAATAATATTTTATCACCTGGGATATATCTTCATTTTAGAAGTCACTGCAATTTGTTTTAGCAGTTGCTCAAAAATCTACCAGTTGAACATGCTACAGCAGAGTAAGATATCTCACTTCACAGCCTTTCAGCTATTGTTGAACTGACATCTGAGTGCACGGTTCATCTCTTTCTTAGTGAGGCAGGACTAATATACCAGTGTAGCACCGAGGTCACTGGAAACACTTTGGATGGCAGCTTCCAATCCTTTTCCTCTGTTCCCCACCTATCCAACCTCCATTATATTGCAAAGATTAAAGATACTTCCCGTCCTGTTACGGTAAGTGCCTTGCAAACCCCAAACACTAACGTATTACATACATTTTTCCGATTATGAGCCAGTCACCCTGTCTGGAAGCAGAGCTGTGTTGGAAACATGGGAGAAAACTGTGTTTTCCTGTTTTTCCAGCGTGCTACTACCGAGCAAGGTACTGAATATCCCCCACTCCAAGGCCATGCCTGGGTCACCCCAGCATTTCTGTGTAACACCCAGCACCTCTTTCCCATGGAGGCTCACCAGTGCCGAGCAACCTGGCTGATAATGCACGTGCTGAGGGCATAAATACAACTGAATGCCAGACAAGGAGAGTAAGACATGCAGTCAGGAAAGTATAGTGTAAAAAATCACCGACAATACAGCATGACTGCAGTCCCACAACGCGCTCGTGCCCTCCCTGCTCAGCTGTAGGAGGTTCAGGTCTCTACTCCACACCTTCTAGGACCAACAAGTGAAGACTGCAGCCCCTCTGCACTCCTGTTCAGCCACAATTTTGGGCATAAAAGATCAAAGACTTCCCTAGGAGACGAAATCCTGGTCCAATTGCTGTCCCGCAGACTGTTGTATACACCCACTAAAACTCGTATGACAGAGATATAAACCAGCCTCCTCGAGAGCAAGCCTGAAACTGCTCCCTCAGGACACACGAGCTCCCCTGTCAGGAATCACATTTGGGACTGGCTTCCTGAATGCCATCCATTCTCATGGCTGCAAGAGCATCCTTCCTGCTTTCATGCAGCACAGCAAAGCTGTAGCAATGAAAAGAGGTCACCCACCATGGACCAGATCTCAGGAAGACGTGACCTAGTTTGTACTTCAATAAAGTCCATACAATTACAGCTAGAATAAGGGCACGTAATTGTGGCAGTCATCTCCACTAATGGGAAGGAGGCTCATTAAATGAAGGTCATGTCAATTATCTACAGCTAGTTTACATATGCAGTCAGTTACCTTGCTGTACTATTTATTTCGGTGTTTGTATTTAATGAAGATTCACCAGTTAATTGTTTTATTTCATTATTTTTTAGTTATTTTAAGCAGGAAATCTAGCAGCTTAACAGGTTGTATTTCCAGCAGAGAGACCTGAGGAACAGCTGTGAACATGCACTTGCTTTTCTGCATCCTGATATGTGCCATGGAAGTTGAAATAACTTCCAGTAGTGAATAGATTCCTAATGCCTTAATCTCCAGAAAGGAGTGTGTGGAGGAAGATAAAATTAGCAGCAAGATGACATTCATTTTCTGCCTTGCCATTTTCTAAGATCTTCACACAAAAGTTCAATTTACTAAATACTACTGAATGCCACAGGCGTGAGTTTCTGCTTTACGCATCATTACCAGAGTGTGTGAGCAGATATCAAAATGGGATGCATGTCAGCACATGAGTTCCAAAGACTAAATGTACAGAGAACAAATACTATTAACCTTTATCACATGCATAACTAGATGTCTGACACACTCTGGTTATCCTTGAGGCCATTTATGCAGCAAACTGTATAATTATTTTTTATTACTGCAAATAAAGCGCCCACCCCCCCCAGTACATACACATGCACACCTACATCCAATTTGTATTCTTGTAAATTGGTGCTTCATGTCAGGAAGAAGAAACCTACTTTATTTTTATTCTCATGTTGGTTTTCCCCGAGGTAATAACATCTACTTAGCCATAACGCCAGAGATGGCAGAGACTAAGAGGCATTTTGAAGTCCAAGATAAACAGCAAGCAAATTTACAAGTAGTGTTAACTTTAACTACAACTTTTAACATGAGAAATTTGCTTTCATCTTATGTTGCTAAATTTTGCCTGTGGTACAGCTTCTGAGAGCAAAGAAACTCCAGCAATGCCTACACTGGCTCTAGAGAAGCATGCATCTGTTTAAAGCACTACGAGGATGGTTCCAAGGTTTTATCAGACCTTTTTCTCCCCAGTGCATACAAAAATCACAGCCTCCCCTGAAAACCAGAGGTGGGAAAGAACCCAGAGAAAATAATGGCAAAATCACAATGCCATGACATCACAGCCCTGATCTTTCACAGAGCTGTGCATCAGAGTTTCTCCCACAAACTTTCACCGCACCTTTCCGGACACTCAAACAGCAAAGTACACACTCATTTCTAAGCTCCAATTAAGGTGCTTTAATGGGCACAGAGCAG